CGTTTCGGATTGTCGACAGAATCCGAAACGTCAGGAAAAAAACTTAATGCAGTGGTCGCATCTTCTTCTGAACTGCTTCCTGGAACTCGCACATTCACTTCTATTGACAATAACGTTTTTTGTACCGGACTGCTCCGTCAATTTTGGATGTAATGGATGCTGCACTCTTCAATGAAGCGTGCTGGATAGCCTGCTTCTATGCTTCGATTCGTTATCTAACTCATACAACGACGGGATGCAGTGTAAACGCCGTCAAGAAATTAATTGGATTCAACAAATCTTGCTGCCAATGCTTGTTTTAAATTGACTGCATTATCGGAAGGGTTTTGATGGTGTTAATTTTCACCGAGGTGCCGACTGGCTGATTTTGACTGCGCTAACAGCATTGCCCTGCTAGCCCTAAAAGTTGGTTTCACTTGGTAAATTAAGCCGCTAGGTCAACCAGTTAATCCACAAACGTCGCGGAGACCATTGTGCTTTCGAGCCTCATCTCTGACCAACAGAAGTCACCCCTCAGGATGGCTGTCAGCTTGAAGAAGTAGGTAAAGTTATAGTTATAAGTATTTCGGGACGAGACTATTGTCCACAGCAGGGAATAGAGAAGACGTCGCCTCCCCAATCGTTTCTGCTTTCACTTTTCACAGCCTTCAAAGGCGTCGAATCGCCACGAAGATCCGCCTGTACCCACCGTGTGTCATTTCAGTCACTCCTGTTGCGAATATGTGCTCTGCTCGTGAATGATGAGCAGAGAGTTGTTTAGTTCAACTGTCACCCGTCTGACGACGACCTGGTGAGAAGCCAGAAGTGTTTGCCCACCTCTACTTGAAGACTGTCCTTCGCGCGAAATAAGCCTTCTTTGTCGCAAATAAAGCAGTCTCCTCTCGCTATGTGCCACAGGATAGTGAGCATATCTCAGTGGGTTGGTGGTTTTGGCACGTAATTGTTCGCCAGCCCCATGAGCCGGTACTGTTACCCATATGGAGGCCTCAAAAAGAAGGTCATTTCGGAGCCTGACTCGCGTTGTTGTCGCTGCAAAAGTAAACACTATTTTACGAGGTCAGTTTGTGTGTCTTTGTTGTAGGTTGGAGGCCCTAGTGCCAATAATTCGGACCCTTAATGCTACTAGTACAACCAGGGTCATGCCAGACTAGCGTTCAGTAGTCAGGTTAGATAAAAAGGCGAAATGTGGGCGTTCCCCACAGAGAGGACCTTTGCCGGCGACGGCACTAATTCAGTTGGGCGTGTGTGTATGTTGTTGGTCTGTCGGTAAATGAAATGTGCTCAGTGGTAGTGTACTGTCTTCTGAGGGCCCAACAAGTTTTTACCGAAGAAAGAAGCAACTCTGACACGAATTGCAGTGCGTTTTTTTGTCTGAAGACTTTGTTAAAAAGTGGGTTTTAGCAATTGAATTTGAATTGGTGATTCCTAGCCTGAGGAATTGCGTACTACGCGAAGAACCATTTCGGGAAGCCCATTCGGGTTATATAACATATCTTTGCCGGTTATTTTGGGGTTTGTGTGTTATCAGAAAGTGGGTTCAGGCGGCATGAGGTTAGTGTCGCCAGTTTTCTAGTCATTCTACACTTTCCGACGAATTTGTTCATCCTATTAAATTCTCACCCGAATTATTGATTCTCCTTACTATAGTGGACGGTGAATGGTCGCCTGCGTATCGGATTCTTCGCGAAATATGACATACCACCAGGAGAAGAAATAACAATTGACTACCAGTTTGTCCAATATGGGTGAGTCCCGTAGAACTAGTGTCCTTCGTTTACCTACACAATTTTACGCATATGTCCTACCTACTGACATTTGTGAGTACAACGCTTTATCTGCTCTCATTTTTCTAGTGTGATTCAGCAAAAATGCTACTGCGGCACACCGTCCTGTTCTGGCATAATGGGAGTCACCAGCAAACAGCTTCAGGATAAAGTTCGCCTAAAGGACACACGCGCGGTACGTCCCGACCAGACTTTGACTGCAATAGGGATTTTTTCGCAAACAAACCTAACCGACCCCAGATTTAACCTGTTGGTTTTGCTTACAGGTCGAACGCGGCATCCTACAGCTCTTAACTTGGAAGACCCTTCGCACGGCAGATGATGTGACCTTTTTGTTGCAAGTTATGGTTCAGGAGTATCTCACTAGGTATAGCAAGATGGAACTTCTGAAGCTGCTGGCGGACACTTCCAACGAGACCTATCTCAAATTGTTCCGCCAGTACAACGGCCTAGAACTGCTCACTTCTTATATGTGTGATGCAGCTCAAAACGACTGGGACCTAAAGTATCAGGTGGGCTTTGTACCTAAATTTTAATTGCTTTTATTGGGCCCTGTGCCCCTACTTGCTACTGTCCATTTTACAGATACAGCAGTCGGTAATTACTTGTTACAGCTGTGATCATGCCTGATCTAGCCGGCCTCAATGATGTCACGGACGGTACCTCTCCATGCGTGGCAATTGGCGGCAGCGGATCTGGAGAGTTCCACCCAGTCTATTCTCCACCGACGGAGACCGAAGGTAGAAGGTCCAAGAACTGCTTCCATGTCTTGACGGA